TGACATAATTATTGATAATTAAGCAAATAGAAGAATACATTTGTGAATAGATAAGCATTTAAATTGAAAGGGAAAACTATTCTTGCCACATCTTCTCATCCTTACACCAAAATGAAAAACAAAACAAAAAATTCAATCTGAGTGTATCATATTTAAATGCCAAAGCTAAACAAATAATTTCTGAATTGTACAGGTGAACTTTCTGTACAGGACATTAAAAATATAATTATGACAAAGACTAATTTGGTTATATTATGTTTTAGAACTTCTGTTTACTTTGAGATATCTAGACAGTCTAAAAGAGTGGTGGGTCACAACTTTTTTGAGAGCTGAATGACCTTTTCATAGGGGTCACATATCAAATATCCTGCATATCAGATATTTACATTACAATTCATAACAGTAGCAAAATTATAGTTATGAAGTAGCAACAAAAATAATTTTAGGGCTAGGGGGTCACCACAACATGAGGAACTGTATTAAAGGGTCGCAGAATTTGGAAAGTTGAGAACCACTACTCTAAAATGTTAAGCCCAGAGTGGAAGAAGATGTTTTGAAATCTTGTAACTAACAAAGAGCTAGCAAACTGAAGTTCAAAGAGACGTATAACTGAGTTTTTAAAGAGATAAACTGGGGCCAGAGAGCAGCTCAATGGACAAGAGCACTGGCTGTTCTTTAGATGACCCAGGTTCAGTTCCCAGTGCCCACATGGCAGCTCACAACCATCTGTAACTCCAGTTGCAAGGGATCTGATGCCATATTCTGACCTCTAAGGGCACTAGACATGCACATGCAGTATGTGTATACAGATAAAACATTGTAAACATAAAATAAATATTATATTAAATTTTTTTACAAAGCAAATAACCAATGATAAATTTTTGTAAGAGATTTGAATTGACTCCAAATGAAAAATAAGAACAAGAAAACTTACACAACTTCAATAGTTATTTTTTTTTTTTTAGTATAATCCTACTCAGTATTGCTACTGCATTCATGAGAATATTTGCTTTGAAAATTCTGGCCATATGTTCTATATCAAGGCTCTAAAGAAACAGAGAAACTTATGATAGTGATGACCACTGTTGCAATAAATCTGGAGACCGGCACTGTTGACAAAAGCTGACCCTCACATACTGTGACCTTAAAATACCATTGCTACATGTACACCTTCCACAATGTGTGCATATTCACAGCAAGGGTACAACATGATCTCTGAAATAGTGTTAATTATAGTCAAAACTACAGAGAGCCTAGTTGTCTATCTGCATTACCATAGGTACATATATTGTGCTATTTTCATAGCAAAGAAGTATAAGCCTTCGGTTACATGCAAACATGGAAAAACAGCACAAACATAATGTTAGGGAATGGAATCAAGAGCAAAACACTTAAATGATTCTGACTGTATAAAGGTCAAAACCAAACAACCTAATTGACCATTTTTAGGGATGGAGAGTTAAAGTAAAACTCAGAAACTTACGTTTCCTGTTTAACCACCTTCTCCTCATCCCAGCAGCTGCTCCTCCAATAACTGACTTAGAGACGTAATATAAATTATAAATGCTCAGCCGATAGCTCAGGCTTGTCACTAGCCAGCTCTTACATTTAAATTAACCCATTTCTATTAATCTATGTGTTGCCATGTGGCTCATGACTTGTTACCTCATTTTCTACATTTCATGCTTGCTCTGCAGCTAGCTGGCATATCTCTCTCTCTCTCTCTCTCTCTCTCTCTCTCTCTCTCTCTTGACTCTGCCCTCTTTCCCATCATTCAGTTTGGCTTTCCCACCTAACTTCCTGCCCAACTACTGGCCTGTCTGCCTTTTATTAATCAATGAGCATAATCCACAACAAGTTACCATGAAAATCTTGCTAGGAGGAGGCTTACGGCATTTGGAGCACTGGCCTGGTGTATTTCTTTTGGGGGAATGTATTGTCTTTCCTTATATGAAGCACTAACTAGCAGAAGGGGATGGGATAATGAGGAGGATGATATATTTTCCTCAAGGTGGAGGCTGGCTGGAGTTCCTCAGGATAGGAGGTACAGAAAAGAAGAAAAGGCCCCCAGCGGGGGAGGAGCCAGGCAGTCTGCAAGCTGACAGGCTCAAATCCAAAGGGCCAAACCCCACCCAGATCAGCCATCCTGTTTTTTGGTGCCAACATATCTTCTGTATTGTCCCAGGAGCCTTTGCCAGTATAAGGAGAAAAAAACAAACAAACAAAAACAAACAACAACCAAATGTAATAACCCCTTCTTTTCCCCCTCCTTCCCTCCTATTTTGTAGAAAAGTCTCTCTGTAGTTCCAGCAGTGTCCTATACCTTTTGTAACACATAGTCTCTTGTTTAGAATAATTTTTTGCAAACCTCTGCTGTGGGATGTCCTGTATGTTGTGAATATATGTTGCTATGATTTACTGATAAATAAAACAATGATTGGCCAGTAGCCAGGCAGGCAGTATAGGAGGGACTAGCAAAGAGGAGAATTCTGGGAACAGGAAGGTGGAGTCAGGAGATGCTGCCAGACACTGCCATGAGTATCAACATGTAAGATACTGGTAAGCCATGAGCTATGTGGCAAGGTATAGATTTATAGAAATGGGTTAATTTAAGATATAAGAACAGCTAGCTAGAAGCCTGCCATGGCCATACAGTTTGTAAGCAATGTAAGTCTGTGTGTTTACTCGGTTGGGTCTGAGCGGCTGCAGGACTGGCAGGTGAGAGAGATTTGTCCTGAGCGTGGGCCAGGCAGGACTGGAGAAAACTTCAGCTACAAACCTTTTTGAAATGAAAATAACTTCATTTTTCTTCAAACGTATTTGGATGATTCTTGGTACAAATACTCAAGGTGTTAGTGGTAGTTAATTTGATACAAGACAAGGTATTTAGAATCTCATTCTTAGAGATTTACTCCTTTTTCTCTTTCTGCTTGTCTTGTAATGCCTTGTAAAGGCCTTATAATTTCTACCCACTGGATTATAGGACCAGAGTCTGAAAGTGGATCCTTCTGTGATTTTCACTGAGTATAAGGATAGTTGGAGAGTGAAGGACATTTGGAATCTCATCTGAATCAGCAAAGGCTCTTCCTTTGCATCAAGAAGTTATCCTGGGAAGTTGAATAGAATTCAATGCTGGGTGGTGGTCTTCTCAGTGATTTAAGACATATATGCAGCTTCTCCACAGGCTTTCCTCTACAAGATAAAAATAGAGTGCTCTTTTACTGAGAGAGAGAGAGAGAGAGAGAGAGAGAGAGAGAGAGAGAGAGAGAGAGAGAGACAGAGAAACTCTGTGTGTCTGTGCGCGCACATGTATTGGGAGAGAACAAATTTTAGTCATTGATGAACTCTACTGTGACAATGTTCACACCCTATTATTATTTTTAGAGAGGAGGAACAGCTGCAAAGTGTTTTGGGTAAAATTTAGATAATGATAACAGCAAAGTTTAGTTTTTCTTTCTTTAGCTAAAGATATCTACAAACACACACCTCATTTGGATTTTGCTGGAACAGCTTCAATATACCACAGAGCTTTGCCATTAAATGCACTTAACATCCACATGTATAGTCCAGGCCATAATTAAGACAATGAGATGTGAGCAAGGAGCCTGCTTGGCGTACATGATTGAAAAAATTTTGGCTCTGACTATTAGTTTTAGTTTTATCCCCCAGGAAAGCCACTGTTTTGTGCTGGACTGGCCACTGCCTTTGACAAGGCCTCCTGGGAACCACAGCGCCCACATAGCCATGGCCACTCATGTCCTTTTTTGACTCTTAATTTTGACTTTAAGAAAATAAAGAAGTTAGATATTTTCAGGGTTTTTTTTTTTTTTTGACACAGGTGTTCTCAGTTCATGGAGTCCCCAGGCTTTAACCATGAAGCTAGTGACCCCTGGTTGGCACCAGTGTTTGGGGCTGATGTTCTGATGGGGGAGGACATCCGGGCAGGGGAACAAGGGCTGCTCACTTTTTCAGGAGGAATGTTTATTTTGCCTTGGGCAGAGGTCGTGGAGGTTAGCTTAGGGAAACAGGTGCCAAGGCCAGATGATACCTAAGTCGGTCAAAGAACAAAGAGCGTGTAGAGGATCTGGAAATCCTCCCCAGTGCACAGGGGTGTGGGACACTTCGTGGAAAGCAGGAACGGAGGTCTGGATTTCAGTGTGTGGTTGCTGCCTCGGAGGAGGAGCACAATGTGGTTATTATGTCATTGTCCGGGATTTTGTGATAGGAACTTACGGGCTGTAATCTTAACTGCACCAGTTACTAAGAGCTAAGCAAGGCACAGGATAGCTTGGGGCCCCAATGTACTAGAATCCTGGAGCTTTTGGGAGAACATGGCAGAATAGGAAAAATGCCGCCCCCTTTAAAAAACAAACAAACAAACAAACAAACAAACAAACAAAACACCCTTCTAATAATCCTAGACACCTTCAGGTTCATTCAGGCTTTACTGAGAATTCTCACCAGTTCAAAGGAGTTTTTCTAAGACAGCAACCCTGTTCCTTCCTCTCCTTACTCCACAACATCTCTTGCCCTGGAGAGAAAAGGGTATGGTGGGGGAGACTGGGGTAAACCTATGACCCCCTGGCATCCCAGTACTGTGGGGTCTGTCCTGAGGATCCAGCCACAGTTTAGGTGATCTCTGGTGGTGGTGGCCCTACAGGCAAGGAAGGGTCTAAGGATCAGTCTGCCCTGACCCATGCAGGTTGGCTGTCGGTCTTCCTAGCCCAGAGTGGCACTGGGCCCGTGGGACTCCCGGATTCAGCCTGGTGCTCCGTTGCCCACCTGGGAAGGCGGCGGCGGGGCCTCAGGAGCCAGAGGCCGAGGTCCCCGCGCGGCTGGAAAGTGACACCAGCGCCCCCGAGTGCCCAGGCCACGGCACAGGGTCCGCTAGGCTGGCGCGCCATCCTCCCCGCCCCCCCCTCCCCCGCACCGCTCCTCCCGGTCCCCACCCTCCACGTTCCCACCCTCCTCCTCCGCCCCCGCCCCTCCCCCGCTCCCCGCCCCACCACGTCCCAGCCGCCCCGGCCGCGAGCGCAGGCGGCCCTGCCACCGCACCTGCAAGGGCGCTCGCTGCCTGCACCCGCGCGCCACGGCTCGCACCCGGCCCTTCCCCACGGTCGCCGCGCGGTCGATGACTCCCCAGACCCCTGGCCGACGACCATGACCACATCCATGCAAGGTGGGCAGAGCGCCGCGGGCCGGGCGGCCGCCCAGGACTCGCCGCTGGCCGGGCAGGTGTGCCGCGTTGCCCAGGGCAGGGGCGACGCCCATGACCCGGTGCGGGTCCCCGGACTGCACGCGCTGTCGCCCGCCTCCGACGCGACCCGCTACGGTGGTGGTGCCTCAGACAGGTAGGCGGCTTCGGAAGGGGGTTGGGGGTGGGGGGGGCATCCGGGTTCGCAGCCTGCTGGGGGTGAGGAGGCGGCCCAGGCAGGGGTGAGTGTGTGCCCAGAGCCCGACCAAGTTTTGAAAGTGTCTGCAGACAATTCCCGTGGAGGCAGCCCCAGCGGGGTCAGCAGGGTCTCACGATCTCCAGGTGCCCAGTTATAAATAGGCATCACGGGTTGGTGGAGAGCCGTCTGTCTGTCTCACCTCTGCCCTTCAGTGTGAACCGGGAGGCCACACTCCAGACTGACCACACTCGGCTGCTGGGTGGCCCTTTTCATACTACACTATAGGCTTCAAAAACCGAAGCGTGAATGCGTTCACCTCCCACGTAGAGTCTTCCAAGGACCCCGGGGACGCGAAGCAGGGATTGACATTTGAGCAGTCTTTATGTTCCCAGGAAAGAGCAGAGAGGCTTTCAAAGGTTTCCCATCTCCACAGGAATCAGCACCAACTGCCTTCGGAGTTGTCATACTTTAGGAAAGAATAAGGCGACATCAGTATAAAAATCTGTGGCCCTTCGCAGTCACACATGTAAATACCACTCTCGCCTCTTTGTCAGGATTGCAAAGTGCTCTGACTTCAGTCAAGTTAAAATAACTCACCAGTGGGCTAGAGTACATCCATGCTAACACGTTTTATTGACTTACCTTCCCAGAAGGACTGCCTTGATGTTCGGTATCTATAAGCACTTGAAAAATTAACAGACGGTGTGTGGGCAACATTGTGAATGAAATTTGAAATGAGATGAACCACATCTATATTTAATAAATCATAACTTCCAGCAGTGATGAGTAGAAGTTCCTGGGGATGAGTTCATTGGATGTAGCTTACAGATTTTGTCAATTTAATAGGCGCCAGGCAATGGCTGACTCCTTGGGGTAATGTTTGCATAAATCATGATGTAGCCTGTATTGGTGTTCAGGAAAATCCAAGTGCAAGGAAATGGAGTGACCATGCCTAGTGAGTTTTTAGTTTTTTTTTCTTTCTTTCTTTTTTTCGGGTGGTGGTGCTATAGAATTATTTGTGGTAATTGGCATATTTTATTCTGACCCACAGATAGCACATCATAGCCCTTTTGTGTACACTTGTGTGGTGTTAGCCTTGTCACACAGCAAGAGCACATTAGGCTTAACAAACGCTCTTTCCCCTGACAGCAATTATAGTTTATATTCTGTTTTATGTAAATGACGTCCTATGTTCTCTTGGTGTAGGAGAAAAAAGAAAGATCTGGATGTTCTGGAAATGCCATCTATTCCCAACCCCTTTCCTGAGCTCTGCTGTTCTCCACTTACATCTGTGCTGTCAGCAGGCCTGTTTCCCAGAGCAAATTCAAGGAAGAAACAGGTATGCACTTCTCAACTAGAAATGCTAGTGTCTTCGGAGGTTTGTGTCCACACAGACTTCAAAGATTTCTGCCACAAAGCATCAAAAGAGAATTGACTGAACAAGTCTCTTGAGGCGACCTTCCTTTTGGGGCCTCAGTCTCCTCAGCTGTATAGTGGGAATGTCCAAAAGTTCCCTCTTACAATCGTGGGGACAGAAAAAGTGGGAAGTGCATGGTCCTTGTCTGCTTCTGTCATTCACCGGGGAGATGGGAGGGTGGTACGTGATAACAGGTTATCAATTTCAGATTTCAATGTTAATTGGAAGGGATGGGGCAGGAATAGTAGGTGGGTGGGTGTTTGCTTGCTTTGAACAGTGTCTTTCATTATACACTTGTCATCCGGTGCTAATCTCATTTACCAAAGGAGAACACTAAAGAATCTGGCACAGATTACCAAAGAAGCTGGCTCAGTGGCTGAAGGCATTTGCTGGCAAGCCTGAGGACCTGAGTTGGATCGCTGGGGCCCATATGGTAGAAGGAGATAACTGAGTCCCAAAAGTTTTTCTCTTACTTCTTGATGGGTTCTATGGCGAGTACACGTGGCTAAACACCGCCCCCTCCCCACACCATCTTTTAAAAAGGATTCTGCAGAAGGTAATTGGAGTTCAGGGGATCAAGATACTTTCTAGTAAGTTTCACGTTTTGGAAGAAGACTTGGAAGTGATGATTAGAAAATGGATTTTATTTTTGTATTTTCTTTCTTGTTTGAGCCTGACTTATACAAATCAGATTACAATGTTCAAGCAACCAAGAGACACTACCTCATGATTATACATTTTGAGAGAGAAAAAGCAACACATCCTAGAATTACTCTTCTCTTCTCATGGACTTATTCCAGTTTTGAACTAACAAAATAAAGAACAGCTTCACTTGACAAAATCCACCTGTTCTTGTAAGGGGAAGGAACAATAAAATTCAACACTCAGATGACTGTGGTGAGGTAAGGGGAGGAGACAGGAAGCCATGCTCCCATCTAGTCTCTTTCCTTTTTCTGTCCTTCCTTCCTTCCTTCCTTCCTTCCTTCCTTCCTTCCTTCCTTCCTTCCTTCCTTCCTTCCTTCCTTCCTTCCTTCCTTCCTTCCTTCCTTCCTTCCTTCCTTTCCTTCCCTCCCTCCCTCCCTCCTCCTCCTCCTCCTCCTTTACCTCTAATAGGTTCAGTGATGTAGTTTTTCTTAGAGGGAAGGGAGGAAGTACTCTGGGAAGCAGACATATTTTTATTACAGTGAAGCAGTATGGACATAGTAGGGAATGTGTGTGTAGGAGTTTCACAGGTGTGCAAGCACTGTGTGATGTGTAGATGTAGAGGCTAGAAGTCAATGTCAAGTGTCTCCTCAAACACTCCACCTCTTGTTTTTACATTTATTTATTTAGTTGTGTGTGCACACGTCTTCATTTTCACATAGAGGTCAGAGGACAGTTTTCAGGATTGCTATCTGCTTCCCCCATCTGGGATCAAACTCAGGTCATCAGACTTGGCAATAAGTGCTTTTATCCACCGAGCCATAGTGTAACCACTGCCTTCCCCCAGCCCCCAACCTTGTTCTTTAAGACAGTGTCTCTCACTGAACTCAGAACTCACCGATTTTGCTAGACTGACTGGCCAGTGAGCTCCAGGGGACTAACTGTCTCCAACAACTGTACAGATGTACAGTAACACACCCAACTTTTGGAAATGTGTTTTTGGTGGCTGTCCTGTAGGGAACAAGGTTGGAACCCGATGGAGGTTGGGAGAGACTAAGAGGGTCCCTTCTCAAAAACATTTTTTATCAGAGTGAGATTTCGTCTGATTGCAAGGCTGCATATAGCCTTACTGAAATATCCAAGCACATTGAGAGTTTGGGCATGTAGTGAGGGATGACATTTAAATGTGTGCTTTGTTGGATTGTTTCGTCCTGGGTGAGGAAGGATATGAATGATGTTGGCATAATAGTCATTTAAAGGAATTTAGTAGACAATTTCTTCAGTCATGGAGGACCATGCATTTTTCACATTATCCTAGACAGTAGGCACCTAGGCAAGGCAGAGATGCCCCCCAAGGAGTGACTGGCAAAGCAGGGCTGTGGTGTGTGGTTGGGGTAGAGGCTGGAGAGAGGAAGAACAGTTGAGAGAGTGGTCTGTCAAGACTTTCTCTTTAATTTTATGAATAGACACAGGATGCTTCTGTCTAAAAGAAATACTGATAGAACAGACTGAGTTCCGGGAGAAAAGTATTGGTGTGTTCATGCTCCCGGGGTGGTGTGGTTGGTGTTCATTTTCAACTTGACAAAATCTAGACTCACCTGGGAGATGGGCCTCTGGGCATGCCTGCAGGGATTATCTTGACTTGGTCTAATTTTGAAGTGGGAAGATTACTTACCGGGGGTGGGACCAGTCTCTGGGCAGAGACACCCAACTGTATAAGATGGAGGAAATGAGTGAGCAGAGCAAGCATGCATTCATCCATTGGTCTCTCTTTCCTATGGATGCAATGTAACTAACCGTCTCAAGCCTTACCACCGTGACTTCCCTGGCAATGGTGGACTGTGACCTTGAACTGTGAGCGGCAACAACTCTCTTCCTGCTTAGGTATAGTGTGTCATCACAGCAAAGGGAAGGGAACTAAGATTAGAAGAGAAAGGGGGTGGGCCAGGTCTCTCATCCAGGTAGGAAGTGCATTTCAGAGACAGGCAATGGTTTTCCAGTTAGGAAATGGAAAACAGGGGGAGAGGTGACCTGTTGCTCACTCCGGCAGGTTTCCTCTCTGCCCTTGCAGCCTGTGTCCAGCCTGACAGAGAACACTGCACACAAAGGAGGCTGAGCCAGCCCAGGAGCTAGTGTCAGCTGACTTCCTGGGGCCAATCCCTGAGGTGTGTCCCATCTCCCAAAGACACTTTTGTCCAACTCTACCTAGGCCCAGGACCGACAACTTCATGTAGAGGACATCCCACTGCTGAGAAGAAGATCCATTTCCTCTTTCTTCCTTCTTTCCTTTTTCAGCTCACCTAGACATCGCATTGAGAACTGATCTTTTATTTTACTTTGTACCATCTCAGTTCTTTGGCATGTGGTGCTTTGAGTACTCATGGTTCTCTGTATCAGACATTTCCCTAGGCTCAGCGCCTTTGTCTCATACAGACAAGTGGACCCCCCCTTGTTACAAGACAGTATCTGCAGCTGTTGGTTGAGACGATGTCTATGATAGTGTGCCCCTCCCAATATGACTTCGAAACATAGGAACATGGCACCTTTCTTTGTAGTCTCTTTCATTTGTTAAATCGTTCCAGACATCTTAGAAGAAAATTCTTTTCTCTCCCTAGGGAAAGCAAAGAATTGTTACTTGTTATTTACAAACGAATGTCCAGAAAGTTTGAGAGAATCCAGACTAGAAATGTTAAATTTCATTTGACCTTTCAAAACCACAGTCAAAATCACTTTCCAGGCCACAAGTATGCTTCTGAAAAAAAAAAAAATCTTGAGATGCTTACATGAGTGTGATTGGTATTGCATTGGAACCACAAATAGGATGGGCTTTATCTCTTTTGCAAGTAAGATGTGCCAAAGCGTATAGTGCTGTGTGATGTCAGTATTATTTTAACATGAGGAGCTAGGATGGAAATCGCTTCTTTATTCTCCATCCCTCTTTTTTTCTTATTTTAATCACGTGAAATCGTGAGTCTATTTCTTGGTGTTTGACAGTAATAGCTATGTAAAGTAGTCCTTCCTTTAACATATGTGATCTGGGAAAATTACATCGAAAGTGATTTTCATTATGTAAAGAAACGTCTTTTCTAGTTTCTGATAGAAATTTGCTAGGAAATTATCCTTTACTGATGGATGCTAAAGGCCCATTACTTGAAGAAGAGAAAAAAAGAGCTTTTGGTCCTCACGGCAGTTATCGCTTCTTGCGTTGATTTTTGGACCTTCGATGATTTTTGAGCTTGGACATAGTCTGTGTAGGGATTCTGGTCGGTTGCCTCCCAGGACTGTCTAGGATAGCTATTGCAGAATAAGGTGCCTGGACACTTTTGAGATTTAACCCAGTGAGAAACTGTGTCAGTGAAAGCTGGAGTAGGGAGGAATGCTTGACATCATCTACTGCCCTACTTTCACTGATCTGGAAATTGTGTCTAAGTGAAGCTAGGTGCTTAAAAGTGATGTAACTAGGACTTGGCATTTGTATTTCTTGAGAACTTGACAGTATTTTTTTTTAAAGGAAGGTACAGTTTCTAATGACAGCAAGGATCACATAACCAGTGTACATAATAAACTCTTACAAACATTCCTAGCTACAAGCCCCACCTATAATACAAGATAGCAGGCCCAAACTAATACCATTTGTTAATATTCATCTAAAGATGTGAAATTTCTTTCTCCTTTTCTCCATTTTTTTGAAATGCAACTCTGATTTTTCTCCATGGCTTTGGTCTCCTAAAATTGATATGAAAAAATCTATCAAAGAATTAGTTACATCAAATCATATTTGTTAGTATTTGTTAGTAACCAACTTTTATATGCAGTTTATGGTCCTTGGTAAAAATCCCAGGAGAATATTAGAATGTAGTTGATCATACTTTTAGTCTGTTCTGTAGCATTTTTTCTCCCTCCCTCCCTCTCTCCCTCCCTCCCT